TATCTCATTATTATCTTCCGCTTTTTCTAAGCCCTTTAGTGATGCATTTATGGGCATTCGTATGGTGCATTAGTAAAGTCACGGCTTTGGCACCTGGCCACAGCGGGGGGAGTTAAGTTATGACGCTTGGCAACTTGGCACAGTACTCGCTGACTATTTGAATTTCACTGGCCAATCCGACACTGTTGTTATCATTCTCTGAAAGGGATCGGTCGATTCCAAGAATTCCGGAAAACTTCGAGGTTAGGGTGTAATTGCTTTTGTAAACAAACACGTTAATCGCTGATTTATCGCGAATAAAAGCTCAATCTAGCGAACAAACTATACCAAATGATAGAGGAGTCATTCCTCTACCTGTTTGTGTTGTTAATTTTTTAGATTGAGTCTACATACAGTCTACCCAAGTAACCAAAAGTTCCGCATTCAACGATTAAAATCACTTTCAAGTTCCGTAAAGTTCAAATAAAGTTCCGACCGAACCTTCAAGTTCCATAAAGTTCAAATAAAGTTCCGACAGAACTTTCAAGTTCCATAAAGTTCAAATAAAGTTCCAACCGAACCATCAAGTTCCATAAAGTTCAAATAAAGTTCCGACCGAACTTTCAAGTTCCATAAAGTTCACATATAGCTCCAACAGAACTTTCAAGTTCCATAAAGTTCAAATAAAGTTCCAACCGAACCATCAAGTTCCATAAAGTTCAAATAAAGTTCCGACCGAACCATCAAGTTCCATAAAGTTCAAATAAAGTTCCGACCGAACTTTCAAGTTCCATAAAGTTCACATATAGCTCCAACAGAACTTTCAAGTTCCATAAAGTTCAAATAAAGTTCCAACCGAACCATCAAGTTCCATAAAGTTCAAATAAAGTTCCGACCGAACCATCAAGTTCCATAAAGTTCAAATAAAGTTCCGACCGAACTTTCAAGTTCCATAAAGTTCACATATAGTTCCAACAGAACTTTCAAGTTCCATAAAGTTCCGACAGTTCAGATGACGCAGCGGTTCGTGCTGGGGCTCTCACGCAGAAGGACTGGGTTTAATTCTTCAAACAGCGCCAAAACTACTAATGCTGATAAATCAATAAACATAAATACCTGCCTTTAGAAATAACTTTCATAAAAGTGCGAACTAAACATAGAATTGGTTTAGAGGGCAAAAACCCTTTTTAATTTATTTTCTAAAAGTTCCGTTCAAGTTCCGCCAGAAGCTGCTTAGAATTCTCTTCAATTATGATACCGGAACTTTCAAGTTCTTATAACGACTTAAAAATGAGGCTGCTTAGAATTCTAAAGACCATCACTAACTAAGCTGCTTAAGCCACAAATGGCCTTTTATCAGAACTTTTGGTTACTTGGGTACAGTCTACAGTCTCGGTTTCATGTTCTGACAACATCTAAAATGGAAATATATTCTTTATCAATACGAACCGTTTGGGATTGTAGTTCTTTAACCTTTCATTTTCATTTTCTCCAACATTAGATCTTGCTACACCTTCCATTGGATCGTGAGGAAGGTAAACAAACGGCTTTTTGAATCCTTGAATTTTCAGCAGCTTCCGAATAACGGTGGTTCACTCAATGGTGGTGGAAGCTGCGAATTCCTTATAATTGATTGCTTCCAAAAGGCAAAATAAACAATATTTCGGTTCCTCGTTCACAAGCAAAAGTTACTTTCACTAGGTATCGATCTGAGTTTCAATCACTTACTTGATCCACCATGACAAGTTTTTCGGTTTGGAGTTGAAAAAAAACCACGGAAAATTGCCGTGAAATTTTGTAGAGGAAAACAAAAACAACACCGAGTACCGTGTTATGATAATTCGTTTCGTTGACATTAGGTCACACACACACAGTCACTGTTTATGAACAGTATCACTAACACTTGTTCTTCAAAGTTCCACCTTTGATTGACAGAGGCGGTTTTATCAGTGACGTTTGACATTTTTATGGGAGAAGGGAACAGTTGCCAGTCTTCTTGATTTGTAGTTTTCGCTTTGATATAAGCTACATTTTCTGTAAACAACTCAAATCTGTTTCCAGCGTTACAGGCAAATGAATGTAAATGAATGCACGAAATCAATGTAAATGATTTTCCATCCTTGGTCGTGACTCACAGAAACCAAATTGACAGGTTTTATGAGTCAAACACATACTTTGTAACTTAAAAGTAAAACATTTTATCTTTTGGGTTTATTATTCCGAAAAAAAATGTTGCTGCAATAAGTATTTGCAACCTTGCAACAGTGTCCGAGATTTGTGCTCTACACGGAAAAACAAAACTACTTAATGGTTGAGTTCTTTAAACTTACTATTGAGTTGTTCCTTCCATTCGCTCTCACGTTTGTTGTCAAAAAAGGAAGAGCAAAACCACCCAATAGGGGGTCTTCAGATGCGGGATGTTAACGTTAAGTAAGTGAAGCACAATTTAATATTAGTAGTTTAAAGTTGACGTTGTGAGAAAACTAGTTAGTACACAGTTCGAAAAAGTGTGTTCTGTTCAAGATGATGCACATAAATGGAGCGTCACATATCATATACGTTTACATTATATATCATGTAAAGTTCTGAGACATTTCATGCAATGTAGCAAATATTGTATACAAAAGCCCATTTTTGTAAACAACATTGTTTACAAGTTGCTCGGTTGCGTGAAAGGAAATACAAGTCTACGGGAATGAATGTTTACATCACAATTAAAATTCAGAATTTTTATCTGTGTAGTTTGTTTACCAGTCACAGTAGTTTAGGAATGAAATCTACACAGTTCGAAAAAGTAGCGTAAATTTCTGTTCAATATGATGCACATAAATGGAGCGTCACATATCATATACATTTACATTACTATCATGTAAAGTTCTGACACATTTCATGCAATGTAGCAAATATTGTATACAAAAGCCTATCTTTCTAAACAACATTGTTTGCAAGTTGCTCGGTTGCGTGAAATGAAATACAAGTCTACGTGAATGAATGTTTACATCACAATTAAAATTCAGAATTTTTATCTGTGTAGCGGAACTAAATTAATAACTCCAAAACGTGTCGTTTTAGTGACTTTGCGTTTTGCGCAATGTTTTTTTTTTTTATAAAATGCTACATATTTCTATCAAAAAAGATATGTACTAAACTTTTACTAAAGTGCTATTCAAAATATATCTATTTAACTATTCATTCTGGAGGTTTGTTGTCTTCATAAAGTTGTTTATTAGTTAAAAATATGAAGCTCTTAGGAAGACGTCTAAATTCTAGCAGCCTTAGTTTTCAAAATATTTATTTTATTTAAATTATAATGAATATAAAAGATAAAACTTAAGGCCAGAACTCCAAGGAGCTTTAGACCTATGGAATATTTTGTGTAATTAAAGTGCACTTTAGAACTGATTTATTTTTTGTATATGCTAGTTTGAAGATAACGCAGTTGACTATCGTATAACAATCTATTTTATGAATTGGTATGATTTCAAAAGAATTGCCGGGAAGGTATAATAAGTATTTTCAATAATTTATTTTAAAAAAACAATTTACCTGCCTTGTTTACCTTTGCGTACCCAAACTATTTCGCTCATAAGTTACGATATTTGAAGACCTACATTGATAAAACAGTATTTGATGGATTGAAAGCTCTAATTTTAGATTTTGCGAAGGTTGTCCGTAATGTTGGTATTATTATAAAATAGCATGGAAATTTACGGCTTCTGAAAAAAAAATCTTGTCTCTCGCTTTTTTTTATATTATCGTTGTTCAGCAAAAATTATGTTAATATGTTGAGAAATCAAAAGCAAGAAACAATTCCTGATTGATTTGCAGGTATTTGATCAATATCGATACGGCAAAATTTAAGCATTTTTTGTTTCGTTTTGATAGTAGAAAGGTTGGGTATGCAAAGGTTAACAACGGAAATAAATATGTTTAATCGTTCGAGGAGTAACCGTCAACAATGCTGATAATAGTACAACAGTTGGGTAAAGAAGAATTGCATTATACACCATCGACTGGAAATGCTTTCGGCAACGTGGGGCTTTAGGTAGTGATGAAACGTCGCTAGAACTGTTCCACAGTCGCTGACAGTATATGAGCAAGTCAAACGCGCACTTTTTTGCCTGTAGATTTGAAGAAATACTTCAAGTCTCCAAATCCATTAATGTATGAGTTACGTAAAGAAGTATGCGTTTGACGCATTACTTTAAGTACTTTTGATTGCATTTTAACTCCAACGCAACGGTAGAGGAAATCAAAACTATTTATTGATTCCGTGACTTGAGTCCATCGATGTGGACTTTCAATCGAATTTCCTTTAGACCAATACTATCGAAAACCGGCATTAATTGGACATTAACGTACACTTCTGAAGTGGACCATACACGATTGCTTTTATTTATAATAATCGTATTGTCAATACATTCTATATTGGCGTCAATATAACGATATTGACCATATTTCTACATCATCAATATTATTGTCAATAATTCCTATTCGTGACAATATGTTGATACGTGTGGGTTTGCTTGAGGCATACATGAGAAATCCCGAAAGGTACTAGGAGTAATACACAAGTTATCTTTCAATCATTAGTAACCGTGCATCGATGAGTGTCACTCCAATTTGAGACATTTTTTGTAACATCTCTTCATATTCCAGGAAAAATTTCTCAGTTTATGAGTTACGGTCGTTTTTGCAAATTTGAGTAAATCTAATTTGTGTGAGATGAAGGAGCCATATTCAACAGTGTTTAACACATCCACTCATGTATTGTAAATCAGCTTTTCGATCTAGACTGTATACGGCAAAAAACGATAAAAGCTCCGTCAAGCTTTCACCTTTGGCAAAGGTGAATTACGCTAGCTAAGATGAAGATGGAAGAAGCTTTCGACCTCCGTTCAACATTATCCAAAAGCTCCATACCCATCCATATTAGGTCAGAAGCGCTGAAACACATAATTATCAGTTATGAATATTGAACATCAGGAAACAAATCATAAATAAGAGATATGACATTCAATTAATGCGACTACTATGGGATGATAGTGCATAATTTTATTATACAACAGATGGCAAACTTAAAGCCTACTTGTAAAACAATTTCAGTTCTTTCCACTGTTCCTTGGTTTGCGGATTTTTTTCTGTTTCTTCTGTAGATGCCCCCCGGTTGATTTAGCTGGTATTGATTGTTTTCATATTCGATTTAAGTACAACTTACTAACTAGTTTTGATCTAATACTTGTCTCAGCCCTATTCATTGTTCATCATCATTTGTTCAAAAACAGCTGACGGCATTGAAGTAGCACTTCCAGTATCGGCCCTTTTTCGATTTGTCCTCAGTTCCTCTCGTTTGGATGTCCATCTAGAAAGGAAGCGTAATTAGCAACGCATCAACCGAGCACCATTTACCGGCTTGACCACACCAATAGAAATCGTTTTCTTTAGTTTTTTACCATTTCGTCCAGAAGCTCCTTGCGGCCCTCGAACTCGTCGAGCTCATCGGGTATCACATTGGCTTCCTCTGAGTCCCCGGCCTCTGCCTCTGGAATCAATCAAACTTTGGCTCAAGTGGATACCGTTCACCGTTTAATGACATAAACATTAGCATGCTCAATTTACCGGCATAATACGACTTCATAAGTTGCTCCGTTTTGCTGGGCTGTTGCTGCTGCTGCTGCTGGCCATTCTGCTTGACCATCCCGTTCGTAACGGGACGCCCACCGTACTTGGCATCTCGGTACACCTTATTGATGGGTCTACCACCGCCGTCCTCGCCTTCGCCACGCTCCAGTGCATGATGCAGTGCCACCATCAGTCGGTCCAAGAGCATTGCTGCCCGCTTAGGTACCACCATCTACGAAGGGTAAAAAAAATAGTTGGAAATGATAGTTTAATCGAAGATTTCATAGAACTTAAGATTTTCAGTAAATATAAGAGACTGCATCATGAGCTTTCCTTAAGTGGGCGAATCGAGAGTCTGTTTCCCCGGACGGTCTCACTTAGATTTTCTAACGTGTTATCTTCTCACATTCATGAAAGCAGAGCCGTTTTTGCTACGTGAATGTCAGCATCACAATGACACCCTGCTGTGCTTATTTTCAGAAAGATCATACAGGCATCCTCCGAATAGCGCGGTGGGTGGTGCAGTCTTTCTTCTGCTATTAATCGGTTGCCTTCCAACAAATTGATCTGTTTTTTGTAGGTGATTAATCACAAACAACAAATCAGCTCAATTGAACAACAGGTTGAAGGACAGTCGAGAAATAGCGCTATTCGGAGGATTCCTGTATTTCGCATAGGGGGATGAGTCGTATGTGTGATGATGTCCAAATGTAATATGATTGAACCTCCCTCAACATGTGTCAAACAGCGTAACTTTTTATTTTCAGATGAGCTTTTGACCTTGATATAATACAATGTATTGTCTAAACTGCTGGAATAAGCAGTAATAAAGAATTAATGAGCTTACACAGAAAAATAAATCTTAATTTTAACCAGCGCATAAAAGCTTTCCATGTTTAATTCTGGGCTAGATTTGGCATTGAAAACGAAATTTGTTTGCAAGCTTAATTCCAATAGTGCTTATGTAATATCGCTCATAAATTTACATCAGATATCGTCCATCTCAACGAGATGAACTAGCCATTGGCAAAAAATATCGCAAATAAAGAAAGCATAAAAACATGAGATTTCGTGCGATAATTACGTGCGCGCTAGATATCGCAGCAATTTACATGACTTTTTTCCAAACGGTGTAGCAAATTGCTTGTGGTTATGAAAAATGTCCTGGAATTTTAAATTTAAACGATTTTAAATGAATGAGTCAAGTATTACAGTGTGCCACCTTCAGTGCTGAAAATTGTCAATGTCACTGCATAAATTTGGGCTACTATGACGAGCATTGCAACATCGTCATCAATCGACGTCTAGTCTACACAGTGTAGTCTACACATACACAGCCAGTACTTGAAAGAATCCTGGAAAATGATAGAAATACATTTATCATTTTTCTTGTCATTATTAATGCCTGCTGCACATCAAGGATGTGAAACAAACAATAAAGCGGCCAGGCCTACTGTGTAGCGTTTAGTTAATTTTTGTGGAAGTGAATGTTTACCATGTCTACTTAATAAGTATAGACAGTGGTTAACATTTAATCCACAGGTAATCAAAGAGCGGGGACATACCGTACCAACCGCTCCGTATGCAGGATTTGAAAATAGGCTATATAAGTCGTTGGGAGTTGTCGTGACCGGACCGAGGTTTCCAGCCTCGGTCACGGCTACACGAATCTCGGCTGCTATGCTTCACTGCAGCTGATGCTCTTCCTGCTGCTGCTGCTACTACTGCTACTGCTGCTGCTGCTGCTCGTCCGTCGTCTTCAACGTTCGTCACAAGAATGACTTCTGCTGCAAGTTTAGTTTAAATGATCTTTATTTTAGTTTAACTTGGACGATTACCATATAAATTTTTACTAAGTGATTTAATTGCTTTCTTCATCTTTAGGTATGGGCAAAATTCAAAATTTGTTTTACAGAATTAGTCCTAGACTTAGTACACGGTCGACCACCTTGGTGGGATTGGTTTGTTTTGTTTTTAGAATTTGAAGAGAAACTACTTAATACTACTATTTACAGCTTAAAACTAACCTACTCTACTATATACACTTAACCTACTATGTACAAATTGCTTATTAAAGCATGTTCAGAAAGATTGCATTTTTGAATAAATTTAGTTGTCATATCATCAATTTTGGAATCTACTTTGGGAATTTCTGCCTCTTGATGGAGGTCTGCTATTCTTGTGTCGAATGGACGATCTAGGATCATCCTCAACACTCTATTCTGTGCAACCTGGATTTTGTTCCTGTGGGTCTGAGCGCACGATTCCCACACCGGGGCGGCATAGAAGATCGTGGGGGCTATGATCTGTTTGTAAACAGCCAGTTTGTTTTGCCTTGAGAGGCGGGATCTGCGGCAAATGAGCGGATACAAACACCTAACCAAGACGGAGCACTTAACTAGGGTTTTCTCTATGTGCGAGCGGAACAGGAGCTTCTCATCGAACAACATCCCGAGATAAGTAACATCAGTGGACCACTCGACCCTTGTACCATCCATTATTGCGGTACAGGAGGGAGACGGTTTAAGTTTTGGCGATTGTCTGTGAAGGAACATGATTGCTTGGGTTTTCGAGGCGTTGATTTTGATTTTCCACGTGGTGGCATAATCAGTAAAGGTGTCAAGGCATCGTTGGAGCTTGTTCGTAATTTCACGAGGCATCCTACCCTTGACGGCTATCGCGGTGTCATCTGCAAACAGAAAGAACACGCAACCGTCTCCTAGAGGAGGGATGTCCGACGTGTAGATGCTGTAAAGCAGTGGTCCCAGCAGACTCCCTTGCGGAACACCTGCTGGGATCGGAAATTGTCCCGAAAGGGAACTATTCAACGACACCCTGAACGACCTTTGCTGGAGATAGTTACGGGTGATTTTCACAAGGTATGGTGGAAAGTTGGAGTTACAAAGCTTGTATATAAGTCCGTCGTGCCAGACATTGTCAAACGCCTTTTCGACGTCTAACAAGGCCATGGCTGTGGACTTGGATACAGCTTTGTTGCTTCGGATGTTATTCATCACCCGCACTAGCTGATGATTGGTGGAATGCCCCTTGCGGAACCCGAACTGTTCCGGAAGAAGAATGTCATGTTCCTCCACAAACTTGTTTAGTCGGCTGAGGATCAATTTTTCGAACAGCTTGCTCAGCGCTGAGAGCAGGCTAATCGGTCTGTAGCTTGACGGTAGTGAAGGGTCTTTCCCAGGTTTGCGGATCGGGATGATTTTTGCCACCTTCCAGATGCTTGGAAAGTAGTGCAGCTCCAAGCATCTGTTGAGGATGGCAGCCAGCAGCGAGTGCACCCTCGCGCTGAGATTTTTCAACTCTAGGTTGAATATTCCGTCAAACCCGGGAGCCTTCATGTTCGTACTGTGTTTCAGCGCTGAGCAAATTTGTTCCTCTGTAATCCGTTCTTCTGGAGGGACGGCACAAGGGGAGGCATCTAACGTCTGGACGCACTGCACAACCTGGTTCTCGAGTGGACTTGGGATTGTAGAGCCAAGCAAATGCGACTGGGCAATGTGCTCCCCAATTGCATTGGCCTTCTCTTCGTTGGTGATAAGCCGTTCGTCATTGACTCTAAGTGGTGGAATGGGCTTGGGGTGAGACTTCAGCACCTTGGCAACCTTCCAGAATGGTCTGGAACGGTCGTCCAGGTTCTGAACGAGCCGCCCGAAACTCTCGTTCCGGATTGAGACCATTCTGGAAGCGATCTGCCGATTCAGATCGACCATTTCGTATTTACGCTGCAGATCCCCAGTCCGCTGAAACTGGCGTCTACGAACATTTCTGAGCCGAATCAGGAGTTTGGTGTGGGAATCAATTGCTTGAAACTTACCCCTCACAGGAACTCGTCGAACGCACTCTTCGTCAGCCACGGATATGGCTTGATGGAGACCCTCCAGGGCCCGGTCGATGTCCTCCACTGTGTCGAGCGGTGGGTTGTCGTCGATGTGGCGGTCGACCACGCGTCGAAACTGGACCCAGTTGACTCGACGGTAGTCCTTCCGCTGGCACGGTGCAGGGGCCACGTTGTAGCCCAGCTCGGTCAGCACCGGTTGGTGGTCCGAACTCAGGTCGTTGACGGCAACCGGCTTGGCTAATCTGGTGTTTGCCAAGAACAGGTCCAGCGTCGATGGGTTGCCCGTCGGTGATGTGAAGGTTGGTTCGTCCGGAAACCAGACGGAATAGAGACCATGCTGGGAATGGTCGAATAGCAGGCGGCCGTTCTGGTTCTGCTGGTAGTTCCGCCAGGCCTCGTGCCGGGCGTTCAGGTCCCCTCCGATTACAAAGCGGGCATTGGTGTGGGTTATGATGGCAAGGTCGTTCTTGAACTGCTGTGCTGTACCATTGCTAACGGTACATTGCCGGGGGCAGTAGACAACGATGAACCGGACGTTTCCGGTCGATGTTTCCACCTCAACGCCGACGGCCTCGATGATTCTTCTGCTGCAAGCTTAGGTAGCCCATATTTATACCCAAAGAATGTTCCCCCTTTTACACAGCGCTGATAGCTGTCTCGAGATTTGCCCTCACAAAGCAATGATAGTTAGATTTTATTCACATTCACGCTTATTTGGGTTTACTCAAATTAAGCGTTTCATTACTTGACTTAATTTTCATTTTTTTAAGCATTATTATTTAACACCAACTATATCTACCACAGGAGTGACAGAGCTAAGAAAGTTAATGTACACTCCTTGGTTGTCCGATCTCCTGGGATGGAACACAGGTATTTACCCCTTGTGTTCGAGCGTACAGTCCTCCCTCCGTACAACCGTGGACGACACCGCCCACCCACTGCCATCCCTCAATCGATCCAGCCGACCTTAGTCGAAGGACAACAGAGAGCGGTGTGCGGACGTAACCTATACGGAGGGAATGCTGTATTCGCCTAGGTTATAGCGCCCTTGCTCGCTATTCGTTATTCGCTGTCTGCTGACGTCAAGGCAACATCGTCATCAATCGACGTGCGACAAAACAAAAACTGTATCACAAGTGCTTCATTCACTGCTGATAAACAGTCTGTCATTTTGTATTGACGATCAAAGCATGTTGCTAGTCATCTCACTATGATCGTCAAGACAAAAAATATCATGTCACTAAGGGTTTTCGTATAGGACACTCCACAACAAACAATTTTAGTTGCAGACCTGATTATAGAGGCAAAAAAACAGCTGCATAAGGCATTTTTTGGTTGGGTCATCCTGCTTGTTGATTTGATCCAATAAGTTTAAC